GGCAAGGCAAGTACCTTAACCCCTGCACTCTCTCCCATGCTGGACAGCGGGGCCTGTGGGAAGTCTATGCAGTCCAGCTCCACGCCTTGAGGTGGAGCCTGGAGCTTGGTCCTGGGCAGTGACCCTTCCTGGGGCCTCCTGTGGGCTGTCTGGACCCATAGTGGTGGCCAGGCTGCTTCTCAGGTCTCGTTTGCTTCTTGTGGCCGCTGCGCCTCCAGCAGTTTGGCCTTCTCCTTCCTCCCCTCGTGAGCCGGACCCCAGCGCCTCGTTCCTCCTCAGCACCTCCTCTTTGGGGGCATCACTAAGCAGCTCGTGCTCCTCGTCTGTGCCTGTGTCCTGTGCCCTGCTTCTCCCTTCTGACCTCTGTGGAGGCTCTCTCACCCTTGAAATGAGGGTGCCCTTCCCTGCCCCCCACAGCCCTCTCTGCCTCCCCAGTCCTGAACATCCAGCTACTGTGACTGCTGTCTGGGGCCAAGGTGGAGTTGCAGATTCTTTCCGCCCTGGTCCACCTGCCCTTGCAGCCCTTTGCTCTGAGCAGGGTTCTGGCCCAGAGTCTGGGCTGTGTTGGGGGCCCCCCTCAGGCTGGATGTGCCCTCTGGCCTGCTGTGTATTCTAGCCCCCTGCCACACCTGGCAGTGTCAGGGGTTCCTCCTGGCTCTACACTCAGGATTCACTCCTGGTGATGCTCGAGGGACCATATGGTATGTCTGGGATCAAACCCGGGTCGGCCATGTGCAAGGCAAGCACCCTCCCTGCTGTGCTCTCTCTCCGGCCCCATCACACTCTCCCTTGGGATCCTTTTCTCATGCTGTTTTCTGGGGGAGACCTTGCCTGATCCCCAGACCAGCTCACAATTCCATGCTCCTTGCAGGAGAAGATGCTAGACATCTATTGGCTGCTTCGTGTCTGCCTGCGGACCATTGAACACGGCGACCGCACAGGGTCTCTCTTCGCCTTCATGCCCGAGTTCTACCTGAGCGTGGCCATCAACAGCTACAGCGCCCTCAAGAACTACTTTGGCCCCGTGCATAGTATGGAGGAGCTTCCAGGTGATGGCACCGTGAGGCCAGGGGAGAGTGTAAATTAGGACCCCGTGGTCAGTCCTGGCATGGGCAGGCAGTTGTCTGCTCTGTTCCCATCAAACAACACTGCTCAGCAGCCCCACCTGGTACAGTGTCCTGCTGTGGTACTGACAGCCCCAGAACTAATGTTTTTCCATGATCCCTGAGGGAATCAGAGGGCATAGAGGGTGGGGAACCCACTTCCACATTCTTTATGGTGCTACCATGGTCCAGGGGTGAGTTACGTGGTCTCCTGGGGCCCCCAAACTCCTCGGTGACCCTGGCTCCCGGCTGACTGGGCAGGCCAGGGGGTCTGTCAGCCCTTACCCACAATGGACCGAGGAGTAAGTTTTGTCTGTGGGGAGCGCTGTGCTTGAATGGGTTCTCATGCTCTTGGGGCTCCTATGGGATCTGCCTTCACCCCAGTGAATCTTCCCAGTCCTCCCATGGATACCAGCAAATGCATGTACCGAAGTTTCATGCTGTCTGGGCCCAGACTGGCCCTTGAAGCAAGTTCTGGAGCTCATATCCCAAGCCCACTCCCAGGGGAGGGTGATGGCAGGGGGACAAGCCTACTTCTGGGCCCCCCAACTCCCAGCCACCAAGTCCTCCCTCACCCTGCAGGCTACGAGGAGACTCTGACCCGCCTGGCTGCCATCCTCGCCAAACATTTTGCTGACACCCGCATCGTGGGCACTGGTGAGGTCCCGCAAGGGTTGGGGGGTGGGGCGGGGCCAGGACACACAGCTGACCTGTGCTGAGACCCTCTGACCTTTCCCGACAGACATCCGGGACTCGCTGATGCAGGCCCTGGCCAGTTATGTGTGCTACCCGCACTCCCTGCGGGCCGTGGAGCGGATCCCTGAGGAGCAGTGAGTAGGGTCGGGGGCTGGGGCAGGTGCCTGCCTGCAAGGCACCGCGCTGCCCCCACCCCACACCGCGACCCTTGCCCTTGTAGGCGCATTGCCATGGTACGGAGTCTTCTGGCTCCCTACGAGCAGCGGCCCTGGGCCCAGACCAACTGGATCTTGGTGCGGCTCTGGCGGGTAAGCAGGTGAAAGGTGGCCCCCCAGCAGGCTGGAGGGAAAGGACCGCCCACCTCGCTCACCTCCCACTGACACTGTCCCCAGGGCTGCGGGTTCGGGTACCGCTATACCCGGCTGCCACACCTGCTGAAAACCAAACCTGAGGACGCCAACTTGCCTAGCCTCCAGAGTGAGTGTCCCGGGAGCCCAGGCCGGGAGCCTTCCCACCTGAGCTGTGCCTCTCCTGGCCTGTTGGGGAGGCCCAGACTCCCCGTCTGTCTCCTGGGCTTCCCGTTAACCTGCTTCCTTTTAGCTGAGGGTCCCTCTGGAACTGCTCCCCTTGTTCCCCACTTCTGTGGTTATTCAGCTGGGAGCCCTGCATGGCCGGGCTGGGCAGCAGCTTCCAGGCACGTTGCTCCCAGCCCTCCTGGCCCCCGGCCCTTGCCCTCTTAGTCAGCTCCCTGCCCTCCCTGGGACCCTGCCCTCCCCCATGCCACCAAGTGCGGAGGGAGGCACAGAGCCCCACAGGGTGTACCTGGGACTTCTAGGAAGGGGCATGTGGTAGAGTCAGAGGTCACACCCTCAATTTAGAGGCATGGGAGCACTGGCCCTTCACGAGGCCTGGTCCAGCACTGGAACCGTCCAGCTTGCTGAGGCTGTCCTGCCCTCACATGGTGGTTCCCCTTGGCCCACACGGTCCGTTTCTATCCCTGCACGCAGTGCTTGGGCCTGGAGTGCCCCTGGAAGCCTGGTGTCCTGTGCAAAGTCGCACAGCAATCCCCGGCCAGTTGTCTTGGTCTCGCCTCCAGGGTGAAATTGAGCCGCAGAGTCGCGTCCTCCTGCTGCAGAACTATTGATTTGCATGGGGGCTGGGGGTGCCAGCCCGGCTGTGGCTGACGGCTCCAGTTACTGCGGCCTCTCAGCCCAGACTTGGCGCCCACCATCTCGGCCATATGCCAAGGCCAGACCAAGGACAGCAGAGGCCCATGAGGACAGCAGGGCCCAGTATCGGCTCTGGGGGGTGCCAGCCTTACCAAGTGAGGTGGTCCAAGATCTAGCCTTCCCCAAGGGGCGTGCCGTACCTGTGGGGAGACAGCGAGGGCTGGTGTGTCAGGGTCGACAGTCCCGCAGCCCAGGCCAGCAGAGAGAGGGATTCAGCCCAAGCCCCAGGCAGGACCCTGACGTGCCCAGGCAGTGGCTCCCGGCTGACACACACCCCATCCGCAGAGCCCTGCCCCTCCACGCTGCTGCAGCAGCACATGGCCGACCTGCTGCGCCAGGGCCCTGACGTGGCCCCCAGCTTCCTCAACAGCGTCCTCAACCAGCTCAACTGGGCCTTTTCGGAGTTCATCGGCATGATCCAGGAGGTGAGTGGGGTGGGACCCCGGGGCCCAGTCTGTGCGGGACAAGTCTGGACTGACCCCTGCCCGTGCCCCTGTCGGTGACGCAGATACAGCAGGCCGCTGAGCGCCTGGAGCGGAACTTCGTGGACAGCCGGCAGCTCAAGGTTTGTGCCACCTGCTTTGACCTCTCGGTCAGCCTGCTGCGGGTCCTGGAGATGACTATCACGCTAGTGCCCGAGATATTCCTGGACGCCACCCAGCCTACATCTGAGATGCTGCTTCAGCGTCTTGCACAGGTGTGTCTGTCTGGGCAAGAAGGGTAGTGCCCTGGGGGGTCACCCCTCAAGAGAGTCCTTCCACCCGCCAACGGGCTCCTGCTCTCACAGCTGCTGAACCAGGTGCTGAATCGGGTGACAGCAGAGAGGAACCTGTTTGATCGCGTCGTCACTCTGCGGTTGCCTGGTGAGGACCTCGGTGCCCTGTACCCTACACCTCAGGCCCAGGGTCCTTTGCAGGAGCAGCGAGGCTGAGTGTCCATTCTGCGCGGGCTCCGTGAGACATAGCCCTTCCAGGCTGAGACCACCCCTGCTATGGGGAGGGGCAGTGGGAAGGGTGTGTGGCTAGCTCACCTCCTTCCCTCTCCCCTCAGGCCTAGAGAGCGTAGACCACTACCCTATCCTGGTGGCAGTGACGGGCATCTTGGTGCGGTTGCTGGTGCACGGCCCGGCCTCAGGGTGAGTGGGAGACCCCCGGCGCCTGGGCGCAGGACGGGACTGGTGGCATCTGCATCTCTGGATGCCCAGCGGCCGCCAGTCAAGGCTACCAGCTGCTGCTGACTGGGCCTCAGGCCAGGGCAGAGGAAGCAGGACTTGGGGGTAGGGTGGGGTGCTGGCCTATCGGATATCCAGTGCTAAGAACGCATCTCACTCCCTGCACCTGCAAAGGCTCCAGCCATGAGCGTTCATCACCTTTATTAAGAAACTTCAGACACTCGGTGCCCAGCCAGGAAGGGCTCCCAGCCCCGATTCCCTGCAGAGCCTGCCTCAGCCATTAGTCTGAGACCAGTGCCAGCCCGTAAGCGGCATCTTCCCCCAGAGACCGCGAGTTCCGGCTTGGCCCTCCCATCTTGGCCCTGTTCAGCTTCTCACTCACTGCCCAGGGGCCCAGGCTATGAGCCTCTTGCTGCTGTCTCCGGGGTCCCTGAGTGAGGCTCCGCCCACAGTGGCCTGTGGATGTCTGTGACCAGACAGGGCGGCCCTGGCGGGGCTCAGACCAAACCCCTCAGGCCTCCCCACCAGCCTCGTCCTGAAGCTTAACGGCAGGTTGATGTTGGTGACCGAGTGTCACTTCTCCCTTGCTCTGGCTTTCCTTCTGCACAGGGTGGGCAGGGCTTCCTCTGGAATGTTCCTCTGAGACTACCCCACCCGAGGATGCTGCTGGGACCCTCAGGCAGCCTCTTCCAGGTGGGCTTGTGAAGTCCTCCCCAGAGGAGGCTGCAGGGTTAGCGGGCACAGACAGGCTCTGGGAGCTTTGGGGTCCTAGGCTGCGGTGGAGAAGTTGGGAACTCCAGCTCCCTACCACCAGTGAGCAGGTGGCTGAGGCCCACCCAGTGGTGGAGGACCAAGCCAACACTTCCCACCGGTTCGGGCAGCTATTGTGGATGGCAGCAGGGAAGACGCAGAGCAGGGAGCAGGCAGGTGGGGCGCTGGGCGGCCTAGGTCATCACCACAGCCTCGGAGCCCGTGGAGCTGGCCGACTCCGAGCCTGCCTTGAATCGCAGGCCTACAGGGTTGTAGAGATCGAAGTCCTCGGCCACCGCCAGCTGCACCCGACCATTGAGACCCCTCCTGCCCGGCTCCAGGAAGACCACATGCTTGTGGACACTGGCCTTCCGGCTGAGCGTGTCAGGCGGCGTGGTGCTGAGCACCGAGGACTGGGCACTCAGCTCCTGGAGCGGGCTGGGCGCTCGAGGCCAGCAGCAGCAGCGGCGGGTGCGGTGGTAGCAGCGGTGGCAGCCCGGGCAGGGCGGTGCGAAGAGGTAGAGCAGCACCAGCACGAGGCCCACGACACAGCCCAGCAGGGTGGTGAAGCCCGTGTTGAAGGCCTCAGTCTCGGGGTGTGGGAAGTGCACGCTCACGTTGTACTCGTGTGTCTGGTCATGGTACAGGAGGGGCCCAGTGGCCAAGCACACGAAGACCCCCTCGTGCCACGGCTGCACGTGACTGATGGCCAGGCTGCCGTCCGCCAGCACCAAGATGCTGCCGTTGCGGGATCCCGGCGCCACGAGCAGCTCTTGCTGAGGGGAGACCCAGGCAATGCGCACGGCGGGGGCACTGGTGTTGCAGTGCAGCCGCAGAGACCGCCCCACCTGCACCTGCAGCTGCTCTTCGGGCCGCTCCAGACCATGGGCGGGGGCAGCCGAGCAGTTCTCGAAGATGCGGCTGTGCTCAAAGAAGCGCACACCGGATGCAGGGACCTTGAAGGCCAGGCACGTGTACTCACGGGCAAAGCTGGTGACAGCGCTCAGTCCCCGCTGCTGCCAGCGCTGCAGCAGGTGGTAGAGGTGGCAGTCACAGAGCAGAGGGTTGCCGTGCAGGTAGAGGCCGTTCTTGAGGAAGGCTGGCAGCACGGCCAGGTCAGGCACAGGGAGGCGTCTCAGGCGGTTGGAAGAGAGGTCCAGGGTCCGTAGGTGCGTTGTGCCCAGGCCGTGCAGGTGGTGGAAGGAGAAGGATGAGAGCTCGTTGTAGCCCAGGTAGAGACAGTTGAGCGCGGCCAGGCCGTGGAAGGCGCGCTCGTGCAGGCGGGCCAGGCTGTTATTGAACAGCAGCAGGGTCTCCAGCGCCCCCAGCCCCTCCAGGTCGTGGCGGCCCAATGCGCGAAGGGAGTTGGATGACAGATCGAGCAGCCGGAGGCCACTGGCATTGGCAAACACCCCACGACCCAGCATGTCCAGCTTGTTGTGACCCAGACGCAGGGTGTGCAGCCGGTAGAGGGGTGCCAGCCAGCCCGGCTGCAGGCGCTGGAGCTCGTTGTGGCTCAGGTCGAGGTCTGCAGTAGTGTTGGGTAAAGGGGTTGGCACCCCCTGCAGCCCCTGACCGGCACAGCTCAGCAGGTCTGCGGAGCAGATGCATCTCTCAGGGCAGTTATGTGTTGTGCGGGGCACGAAGTCCTCAGAGTCCAGGTTGCTGGACCCCAGGTGCAGCATGCACAGCGCGGTACTTAACAGCACCAGCCAAGCCATGGTGGGGACCGCGGGACGCAGCTCCGGGACTCACCCACTTCCGCTCGGCTTGTGGAAGAGGCTCTACCCTGGGGAGGGGAGATGAGGGCTCCGCCCCAACAGCCAACCTCTCGCTGCTCGGCTCCTTGCAGCTTCCCCCGCTCTGCTCTCCAGGCACTGAGAGCGGGCCATCCGCTCTCTAAATGCTCTCCCAGGGGGCGGGACCCAGGGGGCGGGCCTCGGGGCCACCATTGGCTCCTGCTGGAGGGGCGGGGCAGCTGCAGCGCCAAGAGTCAGGGCCCTACGTGGCCACCAGAGGGGGCCCAAGTCTGACCCCTGATGCTCCCCAAACCTGCAGCAGAGCAAATATCTCCCAAGACGTAGAAGGGAGCCTGGGATGCATGCTTCAAAGCCACTAATGCTCCTCCCCCCCACCCCTTATCTTTCACTAATGTGTGTATTTGTTTTGTTTAAAAGACTAATATGGGACAGCTAGTTTTTTCAATCTTTTGGGTGACTCCCTGAGCTCCCTTAAGCTGGCTCCTAGGCGGTGTGGTCTTCAATGGGATGGAAGACTTGGGGCAGTTGTGCTAGCAGACTGCTACTTCCCACCCCTGCAAGAGAGACGGTGCAGGCCTCACAAAGCCTTTCAACTGCCCTGTCCCGTCCCACCCAGGAAAGAGCGAGCCACATCAGTGCTTCTGGCTGACCCCTGCTTCCAGCTGCGGTCTATTTGTTACCTCCTGGGACAGCCGGAGCCCCCTGCCCCTGGAACTGCCCTGCCTGCCCCTGACCGGAAGCGCTTCTCCCTGCAGAGCTGTGAGTGGAGGGGGGGTGGTGTTTGGGGAGAGAAGGACTTGGGGCGGAATCTCAAGAGCAAATTCTCAGGCAGGGGTTCTCAGGATGACACCTGGTTCTAAGGCCCCATCTGACCCAACACCTGCCGCCCCTCCCACCCCAGACACAGATTACATCAGTGCTGAGGAGCTGGTGCAAGTGGAACAGATGCTGACACACCTGACTTCTGCATCTGCCCAGGCGGCGGCTGCATCCCTGGTGAGTGGAGCCACAGCACACAGGCACCCCCACCCCCACATACACACAGGCAAAACTGCTTACCACAGAGGCAGGGTCTGACCACCCAACCCCAGACCTATGCTCTGCCCCCTACAGCCCACCAGTGAGGAGGACCTCTGCCCCATCTGTTATGCACACCCCATTTCTGCTGTGTTCCAACCCTGTGGCCACAAGTCCTGCAAGTAAGTGGGTCCCCCGGCATGTGCGGTGGTGCGGGGACTGGCTGGAGGAAATGACAGGGAGACCCAGGCCTTCCTCCTGCCCTCCCCCATGGCAGAGCCTGCATCAACCAGCACCTGATGAACAACAAGGACTGCTTCTTCTGCAAAGCCACCATCGTGTCTGTAGAGGACTGGGAGAAAGCCACCAACGCAAGTGCCACTTCCTCAGCCACCTAGGCCTTCCTAGCCCACACAGCAGGAAGCTGCACCCCTGAACCCAGACTGGGCCCTATTTATGAGTTCCCATCTCCTGTGTGTGTGCCCCTACCCCCAGCCACGTGCAACCTCCTTGCCTGTGTAACCTCTTTGGCAGGAGCCCAGCCATGCCCTAATTGTGCCTGAGCTTGACTCTCAGTCAGGGCCACAGTGAACATTAAATTATTATTCCATACAGCCCTGGCCTGCCCCTTCTTGAGGGAGTAGGCTTTAGAGGGGCACACCCAGCAAGGATCCTGCCGGATTATGTCCCCAGGAGAAGGCAGGTGTCCAGCAGCTTCAGCCCCCTCAAATGGCAGTGAGTCCGGGGCTTTCGGAGGTCTCAGGCCAGTGCTCCACTTGTCGATGGAGAAAGGGAGGCTCAGCCCCAAGGCCGTTACATGATGATGCGAGGTTCCGGCACCGACTCGCCAATGGACTTGTGGGGCAGCACGCTGGCCCCATTGAGGTAGAGTTCATCATTAACTATGACATCCTCACCCAGCACTGTCACGTTCTCCATGCGCACCTCGAAGGGAGGGGGCAGTCCTGGTCAGTGAGGCAAGAACATTCCCTGCCCCTCTCTCCCCATCTGGCCCAGCCCATAGCCTTACCCACTGGCCCACGCGGCAGCGCCAGCCCACAATGCAAGACTCAAGCCAGGAGTGAGAGCGGATGTGGGCATCCCGCAGCACTGTGCACCGCCGGATACACACGCCGTCCTCTACCACCACGCCAGGACCCAGACTCACGTTGGGGCCGATGCTACAGTTTTGGCCAATACGGGCACTTGGGTCCTGGGAACAAAAGGGCAAATTCAAGTGAATCGCCTTTTGTCTCCCACCCTCCCACTCCTAGACAGAGGATTTATGAGGGGCTGGGCAAGAATCTCACCACCAACACGTTGCCCACAATGCCAGGGCCTGAACATAGCTGCTCAGGTTGCTTCTGTCGGAGTGACTGGAGAAAGAGGCACATGCCAGTGAGGAAATCCTTGGGCTGCCCAATATCCATCCAGAAGCCTGTAAGGAGGGAATGCATCAGGGGGCTCAGCCCAGTCACCGACCACCCCCGCCCAATGGCCTCAGCCTCACCCTGCAGCTCCATGGCATACAGCTGCCCCTCCTTGGCCATGACAGGGAAGACCTCCTTCTCAATGGATGTGGGCCGCAGCTGTGGGAGTGGGCGGCTGGTGAGCAGGTCGGTAGTGGCAGTGGCTTAGTCTGCCCCCAGGCCCACCCTGAGAGGCGGTTACACACCTGGATGCGCTGCAGCACTGCAGGGCTCAGGATGTACATGCCCGCATTGATCTTGTTGGACACAAACACCTGGGGCTTCTCCACGAACCGGTGAATACGGCCCGTATCGGCCTCACACACCACCACACCATACTTAGAAGGTTCTTCCACTTTGGTCACCTGAATGCAGAGACCTCAAGCCTAGTCCAGTCCCAAATGCTACAGGCTGTGCCCCGCTTGCTTAAAGTTACAACATGAGGGGAAAGTTCAAGGCTGGGATGGGTGGCATGGGATGGGGGGTGGGGGTGTCAGAGAAGAACCAGTCCCTTACCAAGATGGAGCCCTCCTGACCATGGTGCCGGTGGAACTGCACCATAGCTTGGAAGGGGAAGTCGCAAATCACATCACTGTTGAGGACGAAGAACGGCTCCTCAGTCTCTGAGAGCAGGTCACGGGCCAGGGCCAGGGGCCCAGCTGCAGTTGGGCGAGAAGTCCTCTTCATGCAGGCAGGTCCCAAACCCCTGGGCCAGGCACTGCGGGCCCCATTCAGGTGGTCCCTGGCCTTTCCTGGCCACAGACCCTTTTCAGCTGCCATGCCTGTACTACTGACCTGTCCCCAAGGGCTCCTCTTCATGGGACATGGAGATTCGGATTCCCAGCTGGAAGGGAGAAGCCACCCGTCAGGTTACTCCCACCAGGCTACAAAGGACAGGAGGCTGGGCGGGACCAAGATAAAGGGCCAAGAGTCAGCCTCACCCTTTGCTCCTGCGCCTTCATTTCCTTCTCCAGCACCTGAGACATGTAGCTCACTGCCAGAATCACGTGGTCCACACCTGCCTGTCAGAATAGTGCAGGGCTCACTCGGAAGCCAGGAGCCTCCCCACCCCCCAGTCACAAGCCGTCCCTCATCTAGTCAGGTGCCTACTACGCTCGGACCCCCAGACCCAGCCTTACCGCGGCCAGCGCCTCCACTTGGTGCAGCAAAATGGGCTTATTGCAGAAGTCCACCAGTGGCTTCGGGATGCTCAGCGTCAAGGGCCGGAGCCGCGTCCCATAGCCGCCCACCAAGATCAGTGCCTTCATCGCGTTTGAGGGCGGCGCAAGAGCGAGTCACGGGCTCCAAGGGTTCCGCGACCCTCCTGGCCGCCTGCAGCGCTGCGACGCCGCCGTGCCCAGACCCAAGCCCTTCACCTGCCAGACCGGCGAACTCTGGCTCTGCTTGGTCCGCCCAGTCCACCCAGATGCCGGTTTGAGGGCCGTCACACTCCCGGACGAGACGCGGCAGGACGGAGGGCTGCGGTCCGGAACTCAGGCCGGACCCAGCGGGCAGTGACGTGTCCCTGGGCGGGCCAATCAACAGCCGCGTACGTGGCAGGCCTGCTGGCGTCGGGACGCCGGGGAGCAGCCCCCTCCGCAGACGCAGCCAATCAGGGCCCGAGCGCGCGGGGCTGCCATGGGGACCACGCCGGCACCTGCGGGTCGGGCGCCCATTGGTGGATCCAAAGGCGGAACTGGCGCCAAGGGCGGGCTTCCTCCGCTCCCCGCGCCCGGGTCTGCGGCCTCCCAGCCGCTTCCGGCCCCGCCCCTCCCGGCCCCCTCCTACCCCACCCACCCGCGGGTAGAGCCACGAAGGGCAGGAGCTGACCGCCACTGCCCGCTGCTCACAGAGATTCAGACACGCCTCAGATTCTAGCGGCTTTATTTTGACATACACGACCTCAGACACAAGCGGGGCGGAAAGCGCAAGGTGTACAGAAAGGGGAGGGGACGGGTCAAAGCCCGAGCATCCCTCACCCCTCACGTAAGACCCGGAGAATTGGCCACTGTGCCAAGTGGCGGAAGGAAGCCCGTGTGATGTCCGGCGCGGCCTCGGGCGCGTTTCGGCAGCTTCCAGGAGGGTGAAGTGGAGCGCGATACCCAGAGGCGAGGCCTTACAGTTCCCCTCCGAGAAGCAGAGGAACCGAGTCCTTCGCGGTGTTTTATTTTTGTTTGAAAACATTTTTGAACCGGCACAAAACAACAAAACCAAAATAGCTTTAGAGTTCAAAGCAATATCGAGGACGTGGGGGTGGCCAAGTGTGAGTCAGTACACAACGGCTACTGAGAGCCCACGCCTTGGGCTCCTTGGGGGTGGGGACCCTTGCCCACTACACAGGCCCCAGTGTGATGGAGGGGTGGGGGGTCCCTGACAAGTTGCTACACTGGTCCCCTTCCTCTTTAAGCACCACCCATCCCTCCCTCCAATTCCAGGGCGCTGGTGTTGACTTGGCCCAGGGAAGCACTATTAAGGGGTCACTGGAGCGCCCCAACCCGTGATCCCACATTGCATTTTGGTCCCAAGTTGAGGCTGGGAAGGCAGGACCTGGCAGGGAGGGCCCTCTGGCACTGGAGCAGCAGCAAATAGTGACCATGTGTGTGCGCACATGTCCACCACCCATCTGGTAACAAGACTGGGTGTCCCAAGTGTTAAAATACTAAAAAGGCGGACCCTTCCCCGGTAGAGAAGCAGCAAAATCTCAGGTCCTTCTGCTCTTTATAGTGCCAAGAAAACACTTAATATAATTGGATACAGCCCCTCACTATGAGGAGCAACAAAACGGAGCGGAGCAACTGCTCCAGACTGTAGGAACTCAAGCCACAAGCACATCCCTCAGGCTGGAGAGTCAACCATGGGGTCCTCAGTGGTCCCAGGCCCTTTGTCTTAGCCTCTGCCCTGACAGAAAATGACTGAATATTCTAATAAAGCGCCACTGCTCCTATGGCGAACGCCACAGAATGGCAGAGGAGAGAAGATGGTCGTTACCGACCATAACAGGCAAGCTGCACCTCTAGCCCCAAGCAATGGGAACCTGCCCACAACTGGCACCAGGGTCTGAGGGCCACAAGAGATGGAATCCACAAAGGAGTCCACGTGGGACATGAGGCTACACCTGTAAGGGCCTGAAACATAGTTCACTGGTTTCCCAGGCTTCTCACAGATACAGGCTGGTAGGCTTACCTTTAATGCCCAAACAGGGACATCCCCAAAGTGACAAAGACAGTGGGCCTAGGCTCAAAGGTTAAAGCACGAACCTTGGCAATGGCAAGGTAAGTGGTATCAGCTCCTGGTGTCATGTATTAGAGGACACAAGTCTCTGAGTCACTAAGACAGGCAGCAAGAACTACTAAAACCAAGAGAAAGGAGTTTCCCCATGAGCTTTACTGTACCACTGTCAGTGTTGGGGATCAGGGGGAGAAGGGTGCTGGGTCAGCAGGAAAAACACCCCCCCTACAATTCATTTTGCTACCAGCTGTTTATAAAAAAAAAATCAAACCAACAACACCTGCTAAGGGGCACAAAGCTCACCTCAGAAATGGGAAAGAGTATTTTGCTGAGGAAAGCATAAGAAAATCAGTATTTACTAGTGAGCAAGGCTACAACCCAGTGACATAATCCCAAGAGACAGGAGCTGGCATATGGACAAATGGACACATCAGAACTGAGACAAAACTCTCATTAGCAAAATCTAGGCAACTGCACCCAGGACTCAGACCATTTCCCTACAAGCAAACAAGCTTCAAGTTCTTTCTCATAAGCTTGGAGGCTCCTCACCTGGACTGCTGCATGGAGCCTGGCCTGGGGGAAGAGGAGACCCTGAGCAGACCAAAGCCCGGGAGCCCTGGGAAGAGCTGTTCATTCAGGGCAGCACAGCTGCCCAAGCTAGAGGAAAAGGAACCCTATCCACAGCACAAGAAGTGCAAATACTGTCTGGACCAGAGCCACCAAAGGCTCTGATGCCTACGGGGGCATTAACTCTTAGCAAATAGAGCAGGGCCCCTTCAGTGGAAGAAGAGGGTGGCTGCCTCAAGCAAGAAATCTTGGTAAGGAAGGCTAGCTGGGTTGTGCAGGCAGGAGCGGGGGCAGGTTCAAGTGCCAAAGAGCCTGGGGACCCCATGGATAGCCCTCTACCATGAGCTGGCTTTAGCCCAGCTTTATCAATCTAGCCTCACACCAAGGTCAGAAGCAAAGATGGGCCCAGCCATGTGCAGCTGGCCCTGGAGGAATCTGTAAAAGAGCTGGTTGACACAAGATCGAAAAGTCCCCCAAAGAAATGGGCACCCGAATCCCCTCAACTTCAATATATATGGAGGGAACATGTGTCAGCCCAAGGCTTTACCCTACAACCAGCAAGGCCCTGCAACCAAAGACCTAGGCAAGAGACACCAATGTCCAAGGGTACCCTGTCCCTACTGCCAAGCCCACCAGGGGGCAGCTCTCCATTTCTAAAGGAAGTTAGCCCGGACACAGCAGTCAGAGCACAAAGCTAAGGAGCCTGGCTGAGGGAATGTGTTCTGCCCTCCACTTTATATATATGGATTCCAGGCTACAGCTAAATACATTTCTTTTAGTTTACACCAAAGAGAAATATAACCCTTTTAAAGCAAGTCTGTGTGTCCTCACGGCGAGTTCAGAGTAATGGTCCCTGCCTGCGGGTGGAGAGGAAGGGGTTCTGGGGGCCCACACAGGGCCTACTGGTTCTCGTCCCGCATCTGTTCCATGATGCTGATGAGGTTCTCCAAGCCAAACACATAGCCTCTGTCTGGCCCATCATGCACAGTGGGATCATCCCGGAAGCCCTTGAATGTGCTGTGTGCAAAGTCGATCATGCGGACATCCACCTTTGGTGGAGAGGAGGGGCCTGCCTCAGGACTAGTGCTGGGGCTGGTGCTGGGGCCACAGGATGAGGCCACCTCAGAAAGCCCTGTGTCCAGGTGCTTGAGACGCATCTCGGACCGGCGGTCTAGGTAGGAGTCAGGACGGCACTCCTTGCCATCATAAATGACAAGCAGGGAACTGGAGTAGAAGCGGTAGGAAGCCTGCCGCTCCAGCACGGCTTTTAGGCCCCGAAGTTTGCTCAGGACAGGCTCAAAAAGGTCACGTCGCAGGTCCAAGCCATTGTGGAGGTATTGATAGAGAGCATTGCGGAAGCCTTCAATGGAGAGCCCACGGCCATAGTATTTGTTTCTGCAGAGGTAATGCCCCGTGTCCAGTTGGTACACCTGAAATCCCAGAAGACAAAAGAGAGTGAGCCTAGAAAGTATTTATGACCAATCTGCTTTTCTGCCTGCCCCCTACCTAACCAGAGTGGGAAGGCCAGGTTTACCCTGGATAAAGCCAGGGTACTAAAGAATAACCTGATAGGTTCTCTCCCCAACTGCCAGTTCTGCAAGCTCCCTAGACTCAAACTAGGAACATTTCGCTAAAAAATAAGTCTGTCTTGGCCCTACAGCAAAGGCAACGGGCTTTGACAATAGTCTTTGGCCTGGAGTCCAGATCAGGGTCAATAAGGAAGGACCAGGACAGGATAATAAAGCTGGTATGGCGCTTGCCTTAAAAAAGGCCAATTCTGGATCTCTGGCATCCCATATGATCCCCCAAGAACCACTACAAGTAATTCCTGAGTGTGGAGCCAGGAGAAACCCCTGAGCATCGCTGCGTGTGGCCTAAAACACAAACAAAGAATTGGGCCAGAGTAATAATATAGCGGGCGAGGCACTTGCCTGGTATGAGGTTGACATCGGTTTGATTCTTGGCACCACACATGGTCCTGAGCCCACCAGGGTCATCTGGGTCATCTCAAGAGTAATCCCTGAGCACTAACAGGTATGCTCCTCAGCCCCCATTCAAAAAAAAAGAGAGACCCTTTAAGGACAGACAGCACACAGTGGGCAGGTCACCTACCTCTGAGAAGATTCTAGACCAATATGGGCTAAAAGGACAGTTGATAGGCTGGCAGGCAGGCCCCTACACAACCCCAGAACATACAAGCAGTAGTACTCAGGCTCTCACTAGAAGTGACTCACCTGCATGCCACAGACCCTGACACCCAGGGTAGCTGACGTGCTCTGCTCGCACTTTCTCATCTGCCGTGCTGCCTTCTCGGCTGATGCGTCATCTCCATGCTGCCGGGTACCCATCTTCAGGTCCAGCACACAGGGATACTTAAAGTGGTGCACAACATTCTCAAGCAGGAGAAACTCTAGGCCACAGTCAAGGAGAATGACAGCCATGCTCACCATCAGCCCCAGCCAGGGTGACACAACCAAATTTTCCTAGAAAAAGGAGCAAGTGAAGGGGAGCTGAGGCTGAGAAAGGGAGAGGCAAACTAGAAATGTTTGGGGGAAACACCTGGCAGTGCTCAGGGTTTACTCCTGGTTCCGTACTCAGGGATCACTCCTGGTAGCTTGGAGGATGATATGGAGTGCTGAGGATCAAACAAGGGTACAAGGCAGGCGCTGCTATTATCCATCCAGACCCAACACATTTTTTTTCATGTGGGACAGAGGAAAATAAAGGTAGGAGAGAATAGTTTGTCCTGGACCTTGCAGATTTTCCCTCCTCTCCTTCCTGACTCAAGCCTCTGCTGCAACATGTTCTGCCAGATCAGCTATCAGGCTAAGAAGCACCTGAGCCTGAATGTCCTTTTCATATTTACTGAAGCTGGAGGTCCTGGAGCAGCATTCTCTGCTACCCATCCCACTGTTCAAAATAGATGTCCTCTAAGACAGAAAGAATAACCCAGAACCCTGGAACAAACTGGGCTCAAATCAGTACAAGTTCCACTCAGTGAATGAACAGAACAGCAAACTGAAATGAGGAGGTCAACAAAATGTTTTACTGTAAAGCTGCAAAATGGAAGTCTTCCAGAAGTTATCTGTACAATTTTACATTTAATTAGGAAATATTTTGCCTTTAATGCATGAAATCATGTTGATATATCACACTAGGGTTTACAATGATTAATTTATAAAATTCAGTGTATCACTATTTAAAGGTGAAAATCTGTTCAAAAATTTTAAACTAGTGCACAGGAAATAAACTACTGAATCTTTGGGAGTTTGGGTTTTTTTTTTTTTGGTTTTGGGGCCACACTGGTTGATGTTCAGCAAGGGCCACTCCTGGCTCTGCAATCAAGAATTACTCCTGGAGCTAGAGCAATAGCACAGTGGCAGGGCGTTTGCCTTGCACGCAGCTGACCCGGGTTCAATTCCCAGCATCCATATGGTCCCCTGAGCACTGCCAGGGGTAATTCCTGAGTGCAGAGCCAGGAGTAACCCTTGTGCATCGCTAGGTGTGACCCAAAAAGCAAAAAATAAATAAATAAATTACTCCTGGTGGTCCTCTGGGGACCATATAAATGGTCAGGGATCAAACCTGGGTCGGCCATGTGGAAAGCAAGCACCCTAACAGCTGTATTATCCCTTAGGTCCCAGAACTGTTTAAAAATTAAATTTTAAAAGGGCAATCTCTTTGAAAGTAATCTGTGTTCATCTCATATACTCTCAACTTTGGATTTTATACACCGGCTTCATTTTTATTTTGTTTGGGGGCCATACCTGGCAGTGTTCAGGGCTTACTACTGGCTCTGCGCTCAGGCATCACTCCTCCCAAGTTTGGAGGACCATATGAGGCCCCAGGGATTGAACCTGGGTCAGCTGCGTGCAAGGCAAGGCCTACATGCTATGCCATTTCTCCAGCCCCTTTTAAAAATTTTATTGATATCTTCATTTTTTTAGGGGAAGGAGGGTGTAAGTGGGTACTGGTGATGGAAAATATGACCATACATGCTCCTATAGGAAGCATATATGCTCCTATGGGTCACACTTGGCTCTGCTCAGGGCTTAGTCCTGGCTCTGTGCCCAGGAATCAGTCCTGAGGAGAAAGAGGGGGGGATGGCTCAGAGTGTGCCGAGGTGCTGGAGATCAAAGCTAAGTAGGCTGTCTGCAAGGCAAACACTTTTCCCAAGCAAGGCTTGTACTATCTCCCTGGCCCTGAGGCTTTTGTTCTTTTTGGGGCCACACCTGGCAGTGGTTAGGTTTTTTCTGGTTCTGTGCTTGGGAGTGATCTCTGGCGGTGTCCAGGGGGCTGTGGTACGAGGAATTCAAACCTGGGTTGGTCACATGTGAAGCAACTGCTTTACTTCCTGTACCATCCCTCTAAACCTATGGCTTATTTCCTTAGAAAATTATTTTTACTGGGACTGGAAAGACAGGATAGGGGGTTAAGATAATTGCCTTACAGCAGGGAAGAATCCTCAAAAAACAGAGCTGGGCACTGCCAGGTATGGATCATGCCCCACCCCCCCATACGAAAAGAAAAATTCCTTTTATTATGATAGGAGAGATGGTCAGAGAACTAGAGTGACCTAGCGCCCATATGGTTTCCTGAAAACAGCTTGGAGTAGACACACTGCTAGGTGTGGTCTCCCCAAAATAACAGTGGAGGAACTGGAGACAGCTCAAAGGGATGGAGTACATGCCTTTCACGGTTTCAATCCCCAGCTTCTCATGCTCCCCTAAGAACTGCCAGGATGATCCCCAAGCACTAACAGGGGAGTGGCCTAAGAACAAAGGAAAAATTAAAAATGAACAAATGTGGAGCCAAAATGATAGTACGGTGGGTATGTGCTTACCTTGCATGTGGCCAACCCGGGTTCAATTCCCGGCATCCCACAAAGTACCCTGGGCCTGCCAGGAGTGATTCCTGAGTGCAGAACCAGGAGTAAGCCCTGAGTACTGCCAGGTATAGCACAAATCCCCCACCCCCCAAAAATTAACAAATGTTTTTTCTATGATAAAATATAATAACATAAAATTTACTATTGTAGTCATCCGAGAGATGGTACAAAAGCCAGGGACCTTGCCTTACACACTGCTGACCCTGAATATGTCCTGAGCACAGCCACATGTTCCCCCCCACCAAAAAACTTGACAATTTCATTGTTTCGGGGCCACACTTGGCAATGCTTGGGGACACTCCTGGATTGGTGCTTGGAGCTTATTCCCAGCAATGCTCAGTGGATCACGAAGTGCTGGGATTTGAATTCTACATGTAAAGCATGTAGCCCTTTCAGCCATCTCTGTGCTTTTATACTAATCTTTTCCTTCTTTTTTCCGTTTTTTTTTTCCCCCAGGGACAAACCCAGCTGAGCTCCGAGTCTACTCCTAGCTCTGTGCTCAAGAGTAACCATATGCAGTACCAGGCATCAAAGCCAGTGTTGGTCACATGCAAGGCAAGCACCTTATCTCTAGCCCTCATTAACCATTTTTAAGTGTGCAGTTCCAAGGCATTAAATACATTTAAACTGGGGCTGGAGCAATAGCACAGTGGGTAGGGCATTTGCCTTGCAAGCGGCCAACCCGGGTGTGAGTCCCAGCATCCCATTATGGTCCCCTGAGCACTGCCAGGGGCAATTCCTGAGAGCAGAGCCAGGAGTAACTCCTGTGCATCGCCGGGTGTGACCCAAAAAAGAAAAAATAAATACATTTAAATAAATACATTGCACAGTAGTGCAATGACTAGTGTTATCTATCATCTCCAAAACTTTTTCCCACAAAAAAGAAATTCTACCCATTAAAAACAATTCCCATTCCTCTTCCCCAAAGCTCCTGGCAATCATTCCTCTACTGTCTCTATAAATTTGTCTATTCTAAGTACTTCATATAATAAAATCATGTGACATTTGTCCATTGTAACTGGCTAATTCACTTACAAAAATGTTTATACTGCATGTGACAGAAATTCTTTGTATCAGTGAAGAAGTGCGTATGTGTGTGTGTGGGGGGTGTATCACATCTGTGAATGTCTTTTTTTTTTACTTTTGTTTTTCTTAGTTTGTAGACCTCACCCACCAGTGCTTGAAGCCAACTTCTGGCTTGATGCTCAGGAGACCACATGACATCAGGAATCAAATCCAGTTTCCACATGCAAAGTATGCAATACAGCCCTTTGAGTCACCTTACCAGCCCTGATAAATTTTTTTTTTTTTTGCTTTTTGGGTCACACCCAGCGATGCACAGGGGTTACTCCGGGTTCATGCACTCAGGGATTACTCCTGGCTGTGCTCAGGGGACCATATGAGATGCTGGGAATCGATCCCAGCTCAGGCCACGTGCAAGGCAAACGCCCTACTACCCACTGTGCTATCACTCCAGCCCCAAAATTTTTAAATATTATCTTGATAGACTAGCAGATTGTAAGTCAATTATATTATTATTATTATTACATATGATTTCATTTTTTGGAGGGGCCACACCTGGTGGTGCTCAGGGCTTACTCTTGACTCTGTGCTCTGGGATCACTCCTGACAGTCCTCAGGGAACCATATGGGTTACTGGGAATCGAACCTAGGTCAGTTGTGTTCAAGGCAAGTGCCCGCTGTACTCTGTCTGGCCTCAAGTATTTTATTCTTTAGATGAGTCCTACAGATATCTGATGTCTTACAGAAGGATTTGTGTACACTGCTAGCAACAAACATATCAAAATAGATCCCCATGGGTTGGAGTGACAGCATAGTGGATTGGGCACTTGCCTTGCACACAGCTGACCAGGGTTTAATTCCTGGCATCCCTATATGGTCCCCCAAGCAGCGCTAGGAGTTAATTCCTGAGTGCAGAGCCAGGAGCAAACCCTGAGCATCGCCAGGTGTGACCCAAAAAGCCAAAAGGGGAAAAAAAAAAAAGGATCCTCATGGATCCTCATACAGATAGTATAAAGGGTAAGGTACTCTCCTTGTAAGCAGCTAATCCAGGTTCGAACTTGGCACCTCACGTTGTCCACCTAAGTCCCACAAGTAGTGATACCTAAGCACAGACCCAGGAATAATCCCTGAGCACCACTAGCTGTGGCCAAAAACAGAAACAAATAAATCCTTACCTACGCCTAATAAGGACAACTAGGGCTAGGACGCAGTTCAGTGGTAGAGCTCATGCCACACATGTATAAAGGCCTGGTTTCAATGTTCACCGAAAGGAAGGGAGGCCAGAGATACAGAGTAGGGGGAAAGAAACTTGCCCTCCACAGGGAGGAATCCGGTTTGGTGGCCAGCACCACATAAGGTCTCCTGAGCAACACTAGGAGTAAAGTCCTGAGCACCACCAAGATTTACTCCTAATAAATTACTCCTGACATTGTAACTAATGCCAGGCCACACCAAAACCCAAAAAAATTACAAAGCAAAGCCAACCAAAGTCAACTGGGGAGAAAGTTCAAGTGGGAGATCACATGCCCATCATATGCAAGATCATAAATTCAATTCCTAACATCTGTGGCCCTCTAAAGTACCACCAAGTATAGCCCCATCTAATGCCAGGCCACAGGGAGCAACCTCAGCCCCACAGAGTGCCACTTGGTGTGCTCATGATAGACAGCTTATAACCAAATACTGATTATCTATGAAGTGCTCGGCACACATCCTTTTTCTCAGTAATGCTTATCTATTTTCAAAAACACTACATGAATATAAGAAGTTCCATTTTATAACACTTTTTCTCCAGGCGCAGGGGCCATGCGATAGCATTCCAATTTTAGTGCATGTGTTACTGAAAAGAGCACAGTAATACGCTATCTTTCACATGTTTTTGTTTTTGGCTTTTAGGCACATCAAGCAGTACTCAGGGCTTAATTCTGAAGCTCAGATCACTCCTGGTGCGGCTTAGCAACCATATGGGATGCCAGGATCAGACTCAGCTGACCACGTAAAAGGTAAGCGCTCGACCCACTTACTATGGCTCCGGTCCCGTATCTCGCACATCTTAAAACTTTTGTACAAGTACAATATTTATCTTTAGACCAAAACAGTCAAAACCAAATATTAATTTTTAATTATCATCATTTGGAAAGGGAGGGGACAAAAATGTATCTGTGCACATGGATGTACATGCACACAGACACAATTCTTGACATGCACTGATGAAGGGTAACCATCAGCTATATTGGCTACCTTTTGTCTGTTTTGGCTTGGGGCCCACACCCAGTAGGCGCTCAGGGCTTACTCTTGGCTCTGCACTCAGGAATCACTCCTAGACGGGCTTGGAGACAGTATGGAGTGTCAGGATCAAGCCTGGGTCAGCCACATGCAAGGCAACACCCTACCTGCTGTACTATCTCTTCAGCTATTTAAATTGCAATAAAAATAAATTTAAAACCAAGTCACAGTAGTGACACTTCAGTGCTACTGTTATACTAGAAAAACAGATACAGGGGCCAGGAGATAGTTGCCTTGCATTGCATACGCTGTAGCATGCCCCCCAACCCCATTCCCCATGCCCCTCCCAGCACCACCAGTAGTTAAGCTCTGAATACTGCCAAATATAGTAAGAAAAAAAAAAAAACACCTCAAGGAGATAAAGTTAAGTTCTAGATTGCCAGCTTTTACTTCTGCCTTGCCAGTCTCAAAAGGTAGAAAAAATATGGTGATAAGGGAATGAAAAAGGAAGAGAAGAAACACATATGAAAAAAGAAAATGCGACACAGAGGAACTCTTCAACAGAGAGGGTCTCTTCCATGACCTGAGCAGGTCCCTAGACACAGGTGCAGTGGGTACAGTAGCGGTCACTGCTGAAAGAGCAAGACACAAGGATACTGTAGAGTTTTCGGTCCTTGGACTCAGAGCGCATTCGGCTCAGTTGCTGCTTGTGACAGCGCAGGCTCCAGGGGTTGTGGCTAATCTTCTCAGAACTCAGACCGCTGTTGCCATCCAGCATCTGGAAAGGGACATCTGAGTGGCTGTGGAGCTCAACCTTTGGACTCTTTGCCTCCTGGGAGCTAAGGAAGAAAGAACACACATATCATTAAGGACCTCAGAAACTCACTGGATCCAGCCAAGGTTGCTGCCCATAGACCCTGCTAATGGGTGGGAAGGCTCCAGAGGCATGAAAACACAAAGTGACTAAATGGTATAATGTACCTCCTGTGTTCCTAAAAACTGTCTAAAAAATTCATCGTGTTATATGAAGATATACTATTTCATATTCATTACAATAGCTATGATAAAAGGTAAACTGGAACAAGTATTGTTGAGGATGTTCAGAAACTGAAGGAACTGGAGAAATAGTACAGTGGGAAAAGCACTTGCCTTGTAAGTGGCCAACCCAGATCTGATCCCCAGCACAGCATGATTCCCTGAGTCCCACCAGGAATGATCCCTGACAACATTGCCAGGAATATCCCGAGCATCGCTAGGTGCAACAACACAGAAACAAAAACAGCATGCAAAGTATGTGATCGGTCCTTTTTTGAATTACCTATGCCACTGCTGCATTTTTAGGTGGGGGTAAAGGGTATATCTAACCACATCCAGCAATGATCAGAGTCTACTCCCAGCTATGAGTTTGGAATATAAGGGGAGGAGTCACTCCTGGCAGTGCTCAGGGAACCATGAGGTACTGGGGATTAAACTGGGTCTCTCACGTGCAAAGCATGCACTCAGTTAGCTGAGTTCTCCTCTCTGAGCTTGCAACTTCTGGATTTACCTTTCCCCCAACCTTGTTGCTGGGATGATCAGGGATCATATGCTTGGTTGTCTTATTCCCTGGGGCCACATACTATTAGTTGTGGTGCTTGCCTGGACTCACCAGGGTAGGGGCTGCTGAGGTGCTCAAAAAAGTGTCCTCCTGGGGTCACACTCTTGGCCAGGGTGCTCACGCATCTTTAGCTGTGGTGCGTGCACACACAGGAGTCACAGACACTGCTGCAGCATCTGTGATCCCAGACAGAGAGCCCCATGACCACACTTTGCACATGCGGGCAATACTGAGTCTTGGACCTGTGGACTCACCGTTTCAAGGCAAGTGCTTGTTGGTGAGTCAACCCATACTTCTGGATTTAACTTTTTCAAGAACTACCAAGCTGTTTTTCAAAGAAACTAAAAATTTCATAACCCTTTAAGCAAATGCAGAGAAGTTCTAATTTCTTTCTATCCCCATAACACTTTTAATAGTCTGTTCTTTTCATTATAACCACCTAAAGAATTTCCTTTTGGGGGATGATTGGAGGGAACCTCCCCTCGGTGCTCAGAGGCCACCAGGGCTTTACCAGGCAGTGCCAGAGACCAAACTCAGGCCTAGCACACATAGTAGTACACAGTGGCCTAGCACATTATCACACAAAGGCCTAGTACCAGACCTTTGAGCTACCTTCTCAGTCCTGAACTTATACTTCATTATATGAAGTATCAAGAAACATAATTCTTCACAGGCTACATATATATATATGTATGTATGTATGTATATATATATAATCTGTGTGTGTATATATTATTTAATGCAACAAACTAAACTCTAGGTACAAGGAAAGGATTAAAGATGCTATCAGGGTCTCAGGAAAGTCTTGACACTTAAAACTCATTAATAATAATAATCTAGGAGCCAGAGAGATAGTACAGTAGGTAAGGTGCTTGCTCTGCACACAAGTGACCCGGGTTCAATTCCTGGAATCCCATATGGTCCCCAAGAACCACCAAGAGTGATCCCTGAATGCAGAGCCAGGAGCAAGCCAAGAATTGTCAGTTGTGGCCAAAACATAAAACAAAATAAAAAAGAATATTAGTGTAGATGATACCTCATTGCCCTGGTGCTTTATCATATTGCATGCAGGTCAAGAAGAAGCTAGTCTCCTTGTGGACAATGTACACAACTTCCTATCTTGGGGGTAGAAGACAGCAAGCTGCAGAACACAGGAAATTCTGTTCTCACCTAAGAGAACAGGTGTAGAGAGCACTAGAGAAATGTGACACACAGGTAGGCTACACCTATTTTGGTGATCCAAGATCACCAAACATATTTCCTCACCTAGTACCCCACTTTCCCATTATATATATAAAAATCTAGAGATGACTCACGAATCTGTGGTGACCAAGACTAGACACACACCTTTGATCCCCTCAGTACCCTCTTACCTTTCAGTGGTCTCAAGGGACAGGCTGGCTTTCTCTTCCTTATGGTCACTGCCACTGCCTGACCGGTGCAGGCTCCGGCGGGAATGTTTGCGCCGAGGTTGCTCCCGCTCTGGTGTGTCATCCTGTTCCATGATCTCACTTTCCACATAAGGGTAAGCCACTAAGTTGATGTAACCATCACTGTCCCCCTCAAAACAGACAGACACCACGCCTGTTGAAAAAGGTACTAGTCACTTAATGTTAACACAGGCTAGATCCATGCAGTAGAGTACAGACATGTGCTATCTCCCAGCGCACAGCACCATCAATCCTGAACAACTGTAGATCATCAGCACCACATGCGTCTACTATTCATTCCTCTGTAAGTCTGCCATTTACATCTCAATCTATACGTATATTCGACTTTCTTATCTAGCCCTCTTTTAACTGAATCTTTCCCATTTAAAAGAACTACATGCTCCTTACATATCCACAAGTCATATAACTTGTGGAGGAGCACATCTATCAATGTTCAAGGGCTTCCAGTTTGGTGCCAGTGATTGAACCTAGACAGATCACATGCAATGCATTTGTTCTTAAGCCCTCTAAGCTATCTCCAAGGCCCAACTGACATCATTTAGTCCTCTATCTCTGCTGCTTTGATGCTACTATTTCCTGAGTCCTTCTATATATTCTATTTCCTTCTGCCTGCCAGCATCACCCGGAAAGTTTCCAAGACTTTTCCCTCTAAAACAGTTCCCAAATAATGTCTTATGCCACAGTGAGCATTAGACTATTCTAGCTTCATCACAGAGAACTTCCACTTGACACAGCTCAGGACTTATTTCTGGCTCTGTACTCATAATTACTCCTGGCAGGGCTCAGGGAACTAAATGTGGTGCCAGGGATCAAACTTGGGTCAGCTTTGTGAAAGGCAAACATCCTACCTTTTGTCCTATCACTCAGGCCCCCATTACATCTCTTTCAAAAAAACGTGTGGAGAACCAGAGAGATAGCTCAAGGGGTGAGTGCATGCTTTGCAGGCAGGAGGCCTGTGTTTAATCCATGTGGTCCCCCAAAAACCACAAGGAGAAATCAGAGCACCAAAGCAGAAGGAGACCCTAAATACATCAGTTGTGGCCCCATAACAAAAACAAAAAACCCCAGGTTAAAAGAAAAAAAAAAACCCTCCTAAGTTGTACTAGCAGTATTTTTGGGTCACTCAGAAAGAAATTACAGTACCTAGAAATCTACCTCAAAGGTAGTATTTTATTTTCTTTTAATTTTTTTTTCTTCTTGGGTCCCAGTCGGTGATGCACAGGGGTACTCTTGGCTTGTACTCAGGAATGACTCCTGGCAGTGCTCGGGGGACCATATGGGATGCTAGGAATCAACTGGGCTCAGCCTCAGCGCAAGGCAAACGCCCTACCCGCTGTACTATCACTACAGCCCCCAAAGTAGTATTTTAATAAAACATACAGTCTGCCCTTTAACTATACATCCAACCTTCAACTACATTTCTTCAGTTTTCTTTTTATACTTTTAGTATTTTTTATTTGGTTTTGGGCCACATGAACTGTGCTAAGGGCTTTCTCCTAGCTCTGTGCTCAGGGTTCACTCCTGGTGGTGCTCAGGAGGCTATGTGTGGTGCCAGGTATCAAACCTGAGTAGAACATCTCCTTTTATGTTCTTGGTGTGGTACAACTGACTCTCTAACCTGGAAAAGCATGTGTGAGACTGAGAAAAATGTTTCTTTTTGCCAATCTCCTTCACTCGATGGGCACTATCCTGATTCTGAATGATCCCTGACCCTGTCTATTTTCCCCCACCTCTTCCTTTTTAAACCTATTTTTATAATCACACCCAGGAGTGCTCAGCTCTGAGGTGCAGGCCTTATGGTTTAACCCTGGTGCCTTTTTTACCATGGAACTTAGAATTTCCAGGGTACTGGAAGAGGATGCAAAGTGCTAGAGCATTGGAAGCCCAGAACCACCAATACTTTAGCACAGAGACAGACCTCCTGCCACTGATCTCACTGTCTTAGCCTGGAAGCATACATTCTTCTTACTTTGGAAACAGAAAACTGCTGCTCCTTCAAGCCTAAGTTACCCCAGCAAACCAAGGAAACCTCCCTGACAGCATGCTCTTCTTCACCAATAGGGTTTAATACTGTGAATTATTCCCAGGTTACCTATCAGTGTATTTAATTTTCAAGATCTAAAGACCTTACTGATGCTTTCAACTTCTTAATCTTCTTTCAGAGAGTGATGAGATGCTTTGAGACCTGTCACCACATTACATGGTCAACGAAACATAAAAACTACTAAGAACCTACAAGCCCATGGCAGCTGCTCTCTCCAGAAACTGGACAGTGACTGACCTTTGTATTCAGGGGTGAACTCCTTCATTTCGGGAGGGAGGGATTCGTAGAAGCGCTGCTCCCGGGAGATGAGGGGTTTGCACACAGTGTGGTCGTCGTAGCGCATCATGCTGCTGTGTCCGCCCACCTGATGGATAAAGGGCTCCAGGAGGACTCCCCGGTCTCCGGCCCGACTTGCGTTCTTGCCATACTGCCCCACCTCCATGGTTTGACAAACACACATTGCGTTGGGGGCCGGTTGCACACTGAGGGCAGAGGATGCAGCACATGGGCCACAAAAGGAGAGCTAGGTAGAAGGAAGGTCCTTGCCAGCTGAGGCCAGTAGTCAAGAGTCTATTCAACCTATTTTTTCCTGAAAAAGAGAAAGACAGAGGGAGCAGAAGGGTGGACGAAGGGAGGGAGGGAGGGAGGAGACGAGAGAAAAAAGAAAAAAAAGAAACACCTGATAAGATACAACTTCCTTAGAGTTCAGACTATATACTCTGAGCTTCCCAAACATACTTGGTGTACTACTCCCATTTTAGAAAAAGAAATTATTCCTCGACCTCCTGGAAATGTATTTATTTTGGTTTGCGGGCCACACCCTGATGTGTCCAAGGTTTACTCCTGGTTCTGTGCTCTGGAATCACTCCTGGCAGTACTCAGGGGTCCATATGTGGTAGCAGGTATTGAACCCGACTCAGCTGAGTGCATGACAAGCGCCCTACATATTGTACTATTTCTCCAGCCCCCGAAATCTATTTCCTGAAGCAAATAGTGCCCCCCCCCAATTACAAACAAGGCTATTAACTACTGCCCGCCTCCTCACTGTTCTAGCACTCCTCTACCCTCCACCCCAAAGAGAACAGTATCAACAGCTTTGGGAAATACCAATCTATCCCATAATCAAGGATAAAGAGAATTTTGGGTTTGTTTCCTGCTATGTGCTAGCCCAGAATGTTCAAAACTGCCTGCCTCATGAATTGGTAAATTTTTATTGTATTATGCAACATACATTCCGTGTCTTTCTTTTAAAACAAAACAAAAACAAAAAATCTTTCAAAGCTCTATTTGGTTACATTAAAGCCAGCTACCAGCATTAACATCCTGCACTGCCCGCCCCACCACCACCAAAATTGATCAGTTGGCCTGTAACCCCTGGTCCCCGACAACAGGAGTTATAGGATAAGCTACAGAATTCATATATATTCTGTTGTCTTTCAGCTTGTCTCTTTGTTTTCACACCTAATAGCATAAATCCCTCATCAGTGGGAGCTTTACTGAGCTAAGATCTTAAAAAGAACAGCTTCACTGACAAGCTGTCATATTCAGATTTAGTATCAGATGCTGTAAGAAAACCTGATGGCAACCTATAGAAAAAAATGTGAAAGGTTTATTAACAGTTGATCCAATACACCTGTCTACGTGAAATGTGTTGCTAACACACAAACTCCAAGTCAAAGACTTCCAGCAAAGATCCTGAAGTTTACAAAAGTAAGTGGCAGTACTGGCGACCTGCACTACCGAAGTCTCTCCAGGTTGCTCTCACACATAGTTGGAGATCTCAGCACTATTAAGTCACAGACCTTGGAAACATGCTACCTTCATCCATTCTTTTATTCACAGAACCCCACATTCTCTTAGTTCTCAGATCTCTTCTAAATTTTTGTTTTTAGAACTACAGCAAGTTACAGTAATCATCTACGGGGAAGATAACTAGTCCTGCTTACTTCACAAAGATTTGATTTCAGAGGGAGGGGCCAGAGTGATGGTACAGGGTGTCTTGCAAGCAGACAACCCGCTGGATCCTCAGCACACCATATGGTCTCCTGAGCCCACTAGGCGTGACTCCTGAGTGCACAGCCAGGAATAAGGAATAAACGAATAAGCTCTGATCAGTGCTGGGTGTGACCCCAAAACCAAAAATATAAAATAAAATGCCTAATTGTTAAAAACAAACAAACAAAAAACTATTTTTCTTTGCACATATCATAAAATCTTATTCAGTAGGGGAAAAAAGCCAATGTCTGCATACATAAGGATATGCACGTACGTGAATGTACATATTTTAAGGACCTTACAAGCTCATTTCTGCTTAAAAGTTGCTGTTCACTCCCTCATGAATATTCACCCTGCAGTTACACTTGTTATACACCAGAGCTATAGGAGAAAATAGAATCTTTTCCTTCCTGTGTAACCTTACCTTCCCTTGCCCCCTCCCCCCCCGAACTTCTAAGGCATATATTCCCTCTACACACTCCCCCAAGCCCACACCGTGGAAGCATGTATATATACAATTGGAACAGAAAGAAATCTAACAATTTATACTAGGAGGAAAGAAAGAGCAAAGTTGGATCCATTTCCTGGAGTCATTGCTAAGCTTAACAAGGAGGAAATAAAAGGCCAGATAAGGGCTAGGGAGATAGCTCAAAGGGATGGAGCCCTCAAAGGGATGGAGCCTATGCTTCGTATGTCTGTGTCCTGAGTTCAATCCTTGGCATCACACACAGTCATGCCACAAGGAGCAATTCCCAAACACTGAGCCGGGAATAGTCTATAGGCACCACTGGGCATGATCCTAAAACAAAACAAAAGGCCAAGCATCAAGAAAAAGATCAATCAGAGAGAACCACAGAAATAGTACAAAGGTTAAGGCACTTGCCTACCCTGTGACTGGTTGCAACTGTTTTTTGTTTTGTTTTGTTTTTTGGGGGGGTCACACACAGTGATGCTCAGGGGTTACTCCTGGTGGTGCTCGGGGGACCATATGGGATGCTGGGAATCGAACCCGGGTTGGCTGCTTGCAAAGCAAACGCCCTACCCGCTGTGCTATCGCTCCAGCCCCAGTTGCAACTCTGGTTTGAATGCCAACACTGCATAAGGTCCCCAGAGCACCAAGAGGCCCTTGTGGACAGCAATGCAAGCGACCCATTGAGAACTACCGAATGCAGGCACTCCCCGCAAAGATCAATCATGAATCAAATTGTGGGGTTGGGGAAATCATTCAAAGGGCTGGCACACATGCCTTGCATTCACAGGGCCCTCAGTTTGATCCTCAGCACCACAAACATTGTCGAGCAAGTATAGCCAGAGTCGAACCTAGCACCACAGGGCCTGAGCAGCACTGCATAACCAGTCTCTCAAACACTGCCAATTAGAAAGCTTCTAGATAATTTCACAACTTTGATTCTGCAATAGGCATAAATCAACTGCATCAAGTAGTGCCCTAGAAGTTCCTACTCATGGCTGATGTTGTCACAGGCTTCTGCAGTTTCTGCCACAATACCAGAGCCTTCAGCATCTTCAACATTATCAGCTCTCTGAGCAATTCAGATGATAGTGCTACCAAGAGAATCACAGTAACCATAGAAATCTGGGACAAAGCTATGCAGTATCATTCCCCAGCACTAACACTGGGGAGATGACAAAAGCATTTCTAGGGATCTTTAAGTAACCAAGTACAATGCCAACCAATCATGGCAGCAATCTAGATTTTTCCTATCATGAATGGTAAGAATTATCAGAACACCTGGAAAAAAAACACATTAATTTCATCCCACTACAGAGACTACAACTACTAAGGCTAGAGTAAGAGCTATTCAAACTTGTCAGAAACTTTTCTGTACTACCACTATCTCCCAGCACTACTCTTTTCTGACCCTGCTCTAAGCCCAAGTGAAGGGAAGGTGCACATTATTCAAGCAAAGAAGTATCTAAATGAAGTGTTTCTTCCGAGTGTGTTGTCTGAGGGTTGTGCCACTACTAAAATCACAGCCAAGTTTCACTTTCTGTATAAAATCAGTCCCATATCACTCATTGTTACCAAGTTACCAGTCTTACTACTTTCCAAGTGCCATTAAATTTTCTCTGAGAAAGCTGCTGCCATGAAAACAACAGCCCAATTACACAGCTTGAAGACAAATCTCAAAAGAGATGCATGCCAAACTAAGACACTTAAACTGGTATCAGTTCAGTTTTTTTAAATTTATTTATTTTTATTTTTTAATATTTATTAGCGAAACACCATGAGGTACAGTTGTAGACTTACAAATTTTTGTGCTTGGGTTTCAGTTATACAATGATCAAGTACCCATCCCTCCACCAGTGCCCATTTTCTACCACCACGGGTCCCAGTATCCCTCCCACCCCCCATCCTCCCCATCCCACCCTGCCTCTGTGGCAGGGCATTCCCTTTTGTTTTCTCTCTCCTTTTGGTGTTAGTTCACACATGCTAGGGGAAAAAGGAGCTCAGACAGAGAAGGGAGTTTTACAGGCCCTAGGGTTCCTAGAGCACACAGCCACATATGCAGTCAGGCAACACTTCCAAATTCCACAATATTGTTGGGCCCAGTAGGAGCACACCAAATTAGATGGGATAGTAGCACAGAAGCTAACTGAGCACAATAAATAAAAATATAAATGCAGAAGACTCAACTACAGCAAACAATAAATCCTCAACACTTTAACGACCCCATTGTGAGATAACAATTTTCATAAATTTTCTTTTACTTAAGTATTTTTTTTATAATTTCATTAGCCATCATGTAACAAGCAATATAAAACAATTATTTTATACCTGCTAAGGGGGCAGGTTTGGAGAGGAGGGTGGGAAACTGGAAACAATGGTAGAGGGAAGATCATGCCAGTGGTGGGGTTGGTGTCCAAATATTGAATGCCCTGAACAACTATATTATGAACAACTTTGTAAGTCACTGGATTTAAGTAAAGTTTTTTTTAAAAGATTTTCTCTGGAAAGGTGGGATCCATGTACAGACCTCTAGACAGCAAGAGATGATTTAGTGTAAAGAAAAGACACTTGGGGCTGGAGAGATAGCACAGCGGGTAGGGCGTTTGCCTTGCGCGCGGCCGACCCGGGTTCGATTCCCAGCAGTAACTCCTGAGTGCAGAGCCAGGAGTAACCCCTGTGCATCGCCAGGTGTGACCCAAAACGCCAAAAAAAAGAAAGGACACTAATGGTGTTGGAGTAATATAAAACATTGTATACTGAGTATTGTGGCACTATAGCACTGTCCTCCCGTTGTTCATCGATTTGCTCGAGCGAGCACCAGTAATGTCTCCATTGTGAGACTTGTTACTGTTTTGGCATATCACATACGCCACGGCGAGCTTGCCAGGCTCTGCCGTGTGTGTGGGATACTCTCAGTAGCTTGCCGGGCTCTCCGGGAGGAACGAAGGAATCGAACACAGGTCGGTCACATGCAAGGCAAACACCCTACCCGCTGTGCTATCAAAATATAAATTGAGTATTTTATATACTTAATATATGAAAATATATACTAAAATACTAAGTATTACAAAGTAGCCACTTTATTTCACTGCCCAGCTGGATCTGGGACAGACACCATAGGTATGAAGAAATTTCTGACTGTCACCTTCTAAGATTGGCAAAAAGTTGCTTATTTAAATCATCTCTTGGGGTGGGAATGTAGTTTAATGAGCGTATACATCTCATATATGAAGCCCTGAATTCTATCCTGAGTAACACACACACACACACACACACACACACACACACACACAACAGCATCTCAAAAAAACAAACATCCCCACTTTTCCCAATCATTTTAGTTGCCCTTCGCTATGATTAACAAAATTCAAAGTGAAAATTGTCAACAATTAGTATTTAATCCTATAGTCTAAAAGTGGCATTTGCCCAGATTCAGAGTTGACAGGAAATTTGTTATTACTTTTTCTATATCCCCAAGTCATTGCCATATTCCTTTTCCCTTTGTCTGACTGAAGTAGTGCATTTCTCCTCTTTGGGACATTAAGGAGTATTGAAAGTATCTAAAAGGAAGACTATCCTTAGGATTTAGGGATACCAACCACCTTAATATTTGGGTTACAGTAACAGCATGCAATAGACTGGCATACAGTAGCATACACTAATAAATCAGAAACATTTCAGGGGGCTTACTCCTGACTGCTCTCAGGGATCACTTATGGCAAGGCTCGTGGGATTATGTGCAGTACTGAAGATTGAAGCTGGGTGGTGTACGTGCAACGCACTTTTTTTTTTCACTGTACTATCTCTCCCTGCTCTCAGAGACCACTCCTGGGGAGGCTCAGAGGATCATGTGCAATGCCAGGTCATGAATGAACCCAGGTCATGTACATGCGAGGCAAGTGCTTTAATCTGTACTATCTCTCCTAGCCCCTTTCCTAACTTTTAAATGTTTAGACTGGGAATATGGCTCAACTGTAGAGCCTTTGACTTGCAATTTTGAGGCCTTGGGTTCAATTCCCAGCACTACATGGTCTCCCCAGGCACTGCCAATAGTGATCCCTGAGCAGAGGGAGGAGTAAGCCCTGAGCACCACTAGGTAATATCCCCAACCAACCAACCAATTTGGAAAAAAGCACTTTGGAAACCTGATGTCATTGTGAATTTTTACTTTATTTAATTTTAACTCATTATTTTATTAGTTGGGCTGAAGCGATAGCACAGTGGGTATGGTGTTTGCCTTGCACACAGTCGACCCGGGTTCGATCCCTCCACCCCTCTCAGAGAGCCCGGCAAGCTACCGGGAGTATCTCGCCGGCACGGCAAAGCCTGGCAAGCTACCCATGTCGTATTCGATATGCCAAAAACAGTAACAAGTCACACAATGGAGACGTTACTGGTGCCGGCTTGAGCAAATCGATGAACAGTGCTACAGTGCTATAGTGCTATTTTATTAGTTGTTGCTACTGCTGTGGAGACCAACCCAGCAGTGCTCAGAAGGCAAGGGTCACATCCACTGGTGCTGAGGGCAGGGGGACAGGGCATGTAGCTGGGCCTCACATATGCCAAATAGGCACTCTACACTTTAGTCCTCTCTATCCCTAGCCCCTGTTATAAAACTTTAAAAACAAAAATGAACATTATATAAACACATATTAGTAAGATAATGATATGGAATGAAAGGATGTACACCAATTTAGAGGAGGAAAGAAAGGGATTAATACCTAGGAAGAAAAGGCAACTTCAGCTCTATAGTATTTTCTCTTGTGGGCTGTGAGGTGGGGTGGTTTGATTTTTGTTTTGCTTCGTTTTTTGGGTTTGCTTTTTTCTAAACCTGAGGCTCCAGCATGCGAAGCATGTGTTCAAGTCATCTCTCAGGCCCCTGATGTAGTCTGTCTTTCAAATACTGCACTCACTTTATCTTCCCGTTATTCAGTATACTCTAGTGATGCTTGGGAGATTTCTCTCCAATCTCTTATAGCTGAAGGCCTCAGGGCTCATACGTTAATTTTCTCTTGTCCAACTATATTCACTTCAGTCCTCTCCTGAATACCAAAAATTAACATAATTACCTTAACGACCCCGTTAGACCTAGAAGTCTAAATTTAAATGGTCAAAACAAAATTTATCTTCCCCTGCCAAAAACTACTGAACCTGCAGTCTTCCCCACCCACAATTACTAGTGTCACACTGCACAAGCCAAAAACTTGCCTTTTTTTTTTTTAAACACACATATAGGTAATGTGCTGGATGTCATAATAAGATTTAAGAGAGGCACATCACACAAATTGGATGTGAAAAACCAATCATCATGCTTGTGAACTAGAAAACGATTATCTTGTCCTTTTTATTCCTCTTTCATGTCCTTAAGTAATACTACTATATCTGTTTTCAGAATATACCCAAATTCAACCACCTCTCACCACCAAATGTGCTAATTCCTGACATAATCACCAACATCTCTTTCGTTTATTTTGGGGAAACACTTGAAGATGCTCAGGGCTTACTCCTGGCTCTGTGGCTCAAGAATCACTCAAGGAAGTGCTCGAAGACCATATGCTGTGCCTGGGATTGAACTGGGATCAACCATGTACAAGGCAAGTGCCTTAAAACCTAACTATCTCTCCAGCACTATGCCACACTTTCAAACTGGTATTCCTACTTCCCACCATGGTCTTCCTGCAGTCTGTTCTCAATGCAACAGTGACAGTGTAAACTGAGAATAACTGACTTATCTGTTCAAAGGTTTGCAACCTTTCCCATCTAACCCAGAGTAAAATTGCAACTCATAACCAAGATCTGCATTCTTCCCCAATCCTATTTTCTTTCTAATTTCAAACCCCTCTTTGCCGCACTGCTTATTACATCACTCTAATCAAATAGACACAAAGGCCTATTGCCATTTTAAGGGCTGTGTACCTAAAGGGCTTTTTCTCTGCTTAAAATTTTCTTCTCCCCAATATAACTACTTGGCTAACCTCCTTCCAAAGCCTTTCCTCACCCTTCTTCCAAAGTTTTTGTATAAATATTTCTTTCTCTCTGAGGTTTATCCTAACCTCCCTATTTTACTTATTTTAAATCATGAATAATTTTACTGGGGTGGGAAATTCTCATTATAATTGGCATATAATTATTCAATTGGAAGTAAAGAGGAAAAGGGATGTGAACCACCTGGCAAAATATAGGAGACAATGCATGAGCAGGGGTGGGAACTTCCCTCACAGCCTCAGTTCAATGGTAGGGGAACATTTTTTTCTCTAGGCAGAACCTTTATTGCCAAACTCTGAAGTTTAAGACTTCGGGGGGAAGGGGCTGGAGCGATAGTACAGCAGGTAAGGCGTTTGCCTTGCAACCAATCTGGGTTCGATCCTTTACATCCCATATGGTCCCTCAAGCACTCCCTGATGATTTGTGAGAGCAGAGTCAGAAGTAACCCCTGACCTCTGCCAGGTGTGGCCCAAAAATCATTAAAAAAAAAAAAAAGACTTTATAGGGGGAAGGGAGCAAAATTGGTTGATATCTGCTCCTATAGCTTCCGTAGGTTGTGTTCAGGGATACCTGTTAGTTTTCATTCTAGCTTCCTAAAAAATTTTCCTTTTTTACCCCTTTGTGCCAGGAATCAAATCAAGGAGGGTCCTACACATTGAAGGCAATGTAGCTCTCTCCAGTTACATCCAGTTACAGTCCTCTACTTCCCTAAATTTAAACTGTAAGCCTAACCACACTCTCAAGGCCTGCATAAAGATAGTACAGGTGATTGAACAGGTGTTTGCCTGCATGTGGAGATATGCAATGCCTGGCTCTGTGTTCAGAGTTATACCTGACCGTGTCAAGAATGGAATCAGGGTTAGTTAGCTGTGTGCAAGGCAAACCCCTGTACTATCTCTCTGGCTACCACCTTATTTATCTTTCTTGTTTTTTGTTTCTGCTTTGGGGTTACAACCAGTGGTGCTGCTTATTCCTGGCTCTGTGCTCAGGGATCACTCCTGACAGGGCTTGTGGTCCATATGGGTGCTGGGGATCAAATCCAGGTTGGCTGCATGCTAGGCAAGTGCCTTATCTGCTGTGCTATCTCTCTGGTCCCCCTAGTCTTTTAAGAATTAAATTTACTGTGGGTGGGAAAACAGTACGGCAGGTTGGGTGCTTGCCTTGTACGTAGCTGACCTGGATTCGATCCCTGGATTCCCATATGGTCCCCCAGCACCACTAGGTGAGATCTCTGAGTATAGAGCCAGGAGTAAGCCCTGAGCACCACTAGGTATGGCCCCAAAACAAACAAAAACGAACAAATGAACAAAAGAATTAAATGTAGGGTCCAGAGATAGCGCAAAGCCTTTACACTTAAGAGGCCCTGATATTTCAATCCCAGCACTGCATGGTCTCCCAAGCATCACCGGAGTGACCCATGAGCAACATGCTGGCAGGATCCCAAGTGCTGGTTACAGCCCATAACACAAAACAAAAAAGAATCAAAAACAAAGTCAGAAATAAAGTAAAATTTTGAAAACATTATAAATCTCTTTAAATTTTTCCCTTTTATTTAAACACCATGGTTCACAAAATTGTTCATGATGTATTGTTAGGGGCATTCAATATTCCAACACCAATCCACAGTGTGACCTTCCCCCTACCATTATCCCCATTTTCCCAATCACCCCCCAATATTAAAAATCTTTAGTTTACTGTCCTATGTAACCCAAGAGAAGGAACAGCAAATTATTCAACTGAAAGGAACACAAATGAGGCAGGGAACATAGCTAAGCAGCAGAGCACTTGCCATGTGATGTGTTTGAGCCCCTGGGTCCCAGTCCCTAGCACTATTTATACACACACACACACACACACACACACACAGAAATAATACTACTATGTGGTCACTCTAAGAAAAAAAAACACAAAAGTTAACTCAGCTTAGACTTTATGAAAAAATAACTCATAACTAATTTCAGAAAAAAATAAGCTGATTTAGAGTTAGATAAGAAGACACTGAAATATCCTTAAATTCATTAGTAAAGCAATTACAGTAAAACAGGGGAGTATATCAAATGGTAAAATCCCCTGCACCACATGGCCCCACCAGCACCTCCCAGTATGGCCCCTGGTAGCCCCAGAGCCCCACTAGGTATGGCTCCTGGTAAACCCCAACCACTAACCATCAGGCCAGCACTACTGTGCCAAGCATGACCAGGAGTGACCCTGGGTGTAGCCCATATTAAAAAAATAAAAAAGATGGGAGGCTGGAGCAATGGTAGGGTGTTTGCCTTGCATGCGGCTGACCTAGGTTCAATCCCTAGCATCTCATACAGTCCCCCAAGGTTGCCATGAATTTGATTCCTGAGCACAGAGCCAGGAATAAGCCCTGAGCACAAATGGGTATGGCCCAAAAAGATGGGTTGGAATAATAGTAAAGCAGGCAGGGTGCTTGCCTTGCACAGGGCTGGACTAGGTTCTATCCCCAGCGCCTCAAAACGGTCCCCAGAGCTCTTCCAGGAGTGAGCCGTTAGTGCAGAGCCAGGAGGAAGCTCTAAGAACCATTAGGTGTAACCCAAAAGACAAAAAATTAAAATTTTAAAAATTTAAGATGCTGCGTTTCCCCAGATATGAAGGAAAAGACTAGGGCTGGAGAGAGAAGTCATCTGGCAAGGTACATGCTGTGCACATGGCTGAGCCAGGTTTAATCCCCAGCAGCCTACATGTCCCCAAGCCTACCAGGAATGATTCTTGAGCACATATCCAGGATTAAGCCCTGAGCACTGCTGGGTGTGGGGAAGGAGAAGAGGGAAGGGGTGATGAGGGGCAGGGGGGAGGAGGGAGGGAAAGAGAAAGGGAGGGAGGGAAGTAGGGGTCATATCCAGCAGTGCTCAGGGGCTACTCCCGGCTCTGCACTCAGGAATTACTCCTGGCAGTGCTTGGGGGACCATATAAGGGATGCTGGGGTAGAACCTGGGTCGGCTGTGTGCAAAGCAAATGCTCTAACGGCTGTACTGTCACTCTGGCCCCTCCAATTGGAGTTTAAAATCACCAAATTTGGTACTACTTTAAAAGAGGTAGTAAGAGGAGCCAGAGACAATACAGTAGATAAGTCACTTACCCGGCATGGAGCCAATCTGGTTTGATCCCCATCATCCTACTTAGCCGGCATGGAGCCAACCTGGTTTGATCCCCATCATCCTATATGGTCCCCTGAGCACCACCAGGAATAATTCCTGAGCAACTGGAGTAATTCCTGAGCATCACTGAGTGTGGCCCAAAAAACAAACAAACAAAAAGAGGTGACAAGAAAAGCTAAATATATAGTACAGCAGCTAAGATATTTTTCTTGCACACAGCCAAACCAGGTTCAATCCCCCAACACTGCATATGGTCCCCTGAACTCCACCAGGGATGATTCCTGAGCACCTAAACAGGATCAGCCCTGAGCACTGCCAAGTGTGTGTGTTTGGGGGGGGGGGGGGAGGTACCAAGAAGTATCATATACACTGCTTAAAATCAAATATGGAGGGCTTGGAGGTGGCTCAGTAGCAAAACACACCTCCCACACCAAATGACGCCTGCACATCCAATCCCTGGTGCCACCCACATGTGCCAAGCACATCCCTGCTCTGCTATTTGGGCCTCCAGGCACGACAACAGTTTGCAATCTCCAGCATACTGCAGCCAGGTGTACACAAACGCAAATAAAATGTGCAAGCTCCAAAGTAAGCCCTAGAAACACTATACCGGGTATGATAGCACCACAACTGCTTTGTGAACCCCAGTGAGAATACATGAAAGCAACACAAATGTGTAAACCAGGGTTAGGGCATGATAGTACAGTGGGTAAGGAGTTTGCCTTGCATGCTGCCAACCAGGGTTTGTTACCCGGCATCCCATATGATCCCCCAAGCACTGGCAGGAGTAATTTCTGAGTGCAGAACCAGGAGTAACCCCTGAGCGTTGCTGGGTGTGACCTAAAAAGAAAAGGAAAAAAAAAGTGTGTAATCCCCAGTGAACACCAAAGCTGAGTGTTCACACCAAGCATGTGCCTGAATACCGAGTCATCAAAACAGTAACAACAAAGTGATCAGATATGGCTACAATCCATGACTCTTGCTCTGATGGTAAAATCATGTATTAATTTAATTGCCTTGACACTAAACTATTCTGCAAGTTATCTGAAAATATAATCATAACAAATTCCTCAGACACGACCATTGGGTTGTACGCAGCTATAACTGGAAGCTGGAAGTAAAGTGTCTACCACAACATACAACCCCACAGAGTTTTGCTCTTTCAGAACTTGCTGCTACTCCTATAACAGGACTGAGACCAGCTCAGGTTTTAAACTCTAAGGA